ACTGATTTATACATATTTAAGCTTGATCTACTATTTCCTTCTAGTCTGTGTCTCCTTAGTAAGTTTAAGCCATTAAACAGCAAAATGGACACCATGACTTATTCTGCCAGTACTAAACAAGACAGGGGGTTCACAGATACTTAACCGCTGGCATCTGACCAATTAAGATCCAGATAATGCAGGCTCATCCATTCCATGACGCACACTAAAATATAGCAAAATAAAATCGCTTTATCATACTACTAATTCTCCCTACATTTTCCAAGTTATGCCACCTATTTGAGACCAATTGTTCAGCTGTAAGTTGGAGATAATTGAACTGACCACTGTAGGGACTTTTAAGAGTTGAGTGTGACATCACATAGGCAATTATTTATCACAATGCCTGGAATTTGGCAGTTGCAAAATACGTTCGGCCCCCTTCCAAAAAATAACAGTTGCAGACGGTGGTACTACGTGATTTCTCCATTCGGCCTGGAGTTGACAGAAGGTGACCAGTGTTTTAACTCACTTGAAATTTCTGGTCTGTTTGGACATTCCAGTCTAATTACTGTTCTTCAGGCCATGGGGATCCCAACGCCTTGCAACCCCATTGTATGTTTCTGCTTAAATAGACTGTATCTTGCTAATTATTTAGTTTTGTCACAACGGTAAGAGATACTGACATATAATTCTTGGGGTAGCAACTTGGTCTAGTTACCTTTATGTCTCCATTTCCTCTATGCTAATGCTCAAGAAGGGTTTGACTAACTTGCATTCGTTACCTACTGTGGCCACTTTAGCACTGTCACCTTAACACAAACTGCAAGCTAATTATATTCATTTAGGTAAAATTTATAGCTCAAGTGCGTATTGTGTTGAAGATATGCTAAGACAAATTCTTTGATTTACAAGTATATTCTTGAGACTCTCCTGTTTTTAATTCAGAGTAAGACTTTCATGGCCCTGCCCACAAAAGCCACGGAGTGACGTGGCTTAGAGATGCACAGGATGCCCCCAGAGCACACCCAGGCCTCTGTGGCTGAGCGCGCAGGCACGTAGGAACGGGATTGCTGGGCAGATTCCCACTCCTGCACCAAACTGGTTTGTCCTTCCCACTGTTTGAAGCCACTGTGTAATACTGTGACTGTCACAGGAGCAAGTGTGTAATTACCTGCATTAAAGCAGACTTCACTCTTCCCTGGCATTCCCTGCAACTTTTACTTTTTTTAGTAGGTAAGGATGGATGTGGCCACATGAGTGCAGGTCTCACAGGATGATGGTTGACAAAAGCTCCTGCAGAAGAGTGGTGGGCAGCGATCGGAACAACTTCTGCAGCCCCCCCCCGGAGCACAGCTGCCACTCCGCAGGCCGAGGCATCCCTCGGCCCTTCAGCGGCTCCTCTGCGTGGGACACTCACTGACTGTATTGGATACTTGGTCTGCGTCAGTGGTCATTACTCATTAACTTCCCTGCCCAAACCAGTGTGTCAGCTCCAGGCCCTCCCGGCAGCGAAGGCCTCCCCGAGTCCGAGCGAGGCCGGGCGGGACGGTGGAGCAGCCAGTCCTTCAGCAGGGTGGGCAGCAGGGGCAAGCGGGGAAGGTCTGAGAGGAACGAGTTTGGAAAACCCGGAGGGAGCAGGTGCTTGAAACCCTTTCCCTACAGCTTTGTCAGTTGTGCTTAATGCACTGGGGGGAGGAAGTGCTTTGAGCCTGGTAAACCCTCCAAACCCTCCAAGCCCTCCTGGGCCTCTGGCCTTGGCCAGTCTGCTGTGGCTTCCAGGGTGTGACACTGCTGACAGCATTTCTGAGGGAGGTGTGAGGGCTGGGACGTCCTCCCTCATGTTCTTCTCCTGCTTTAAAATCCTGAATTTTTATCTAAGTCATCTCTTTATGGGAAGAATAGCAGCTCTTGGTAAGAGTGGATAAAATATATAACAATAGGTTCTGAGATGGAGGCACCTTAGGGACAACGCTGTGGGTGGGGGGCGAGCTCGCAGGGGCTGTCCAGGCCAGGGAGCAGGAAACCGTAAGTGCACCAGATGTGGCCGGGCACTAGGGAGGAAGGGCACCTCCGTTTGTAAGGATGAAGGTTCCAAATCGCGTAGAAACGGCAAAGACTCACTAACTGAGACAAACAGAGACACCCTGCCGGCGGGGAAGAACAGCTGGAGAAGCGGTCTGGCATGCCGCGATATTCATTAAATTATAAGGGGCCCAGGAAAATAATTCCAAACCATCTCATCTTTATAACCTTTCAGTGCTGTATCTGCCTAACTAGACAAAGATCCACACAGGGTTCCATACATTGGCTCGAAGATAAATAAAAAGGGAATTAATACTCAGGCTTGGGGACTGGGTTAAATCAGGCCCTCGGCCCAGAAGGCAAAGTGGACATCCAGCTGTAACCCTTAAACGGCTCTTCTCAATGGCGTGTATTGACTTGAGACCTTGGGGAGCTCCCCAGATGTTTTCAGGGCTTTAATAAGTGTGCCAAGAGGGGCAAAAGCTTAAGATGTCCCCAAAGGTTTAGTGACATAGTCTGGAGGCTAGAGCGGTAGCCAGGGGGCCTGAAGGTGCTAGCGAATCCTGACGGCTTCCTCAGGGTATAGGAATTCAGTTCCTTTTACTTCACAGTTAGGCGAAAATAGACGTGGATGGAGAAATGATTCACAGACAAACTCAAAATAGCGGAGCTCATCTGGTGGTTAAGGCAAATGGGGTCTTGTATCGGGCTGTTGGCATGTAAATCCCAGTTTTACTGCTTCCTCGCCACGTAAACTTGTGCAAGTCACCTAAATTCTCCTACCTGGGCTTCCTCATCTGCAAAATGGAGATAAAAGAAGCTACTTAACAGAAATGTTTAAATGAGATAATATGTACACAGTGTTTAAAATATCATGTGGGCAGTGAGTCCTCAGTGAATACTACTTGTTAGTATATATTTAAATTTTATTAGAGAAAAGGCAATACTACACTGGTTCTCTACTCATGCTCTTTGGGGCGAGTTAGCTCCCTCTGAGGGTGCAGAATCTCTCCCAGAGTGTCCTGAACTGATCTAGCCCTGAGGCCCCCCAGCCCTCCTGAGGATGACACGGGTGCCCCGGCGGGACAGGGCGAGGGGATCCCTGCACCACGCTGTGTTCCTCCAGGCTTTGCGAGCTCTGCTATCGGCAAGGGAATCCATGGAATTGTCTCTTGATTGCCATCCCTGGATTTTTAAGTATTTTTTTCTTGTGATTTTATTTTATAATAGCGTGAATTTAGCCTGTAGGGTCTTAGTCTCCCAGAATCTATAATCTGGTCCTCTCTGGGTCCAAATATCCCTTAAGTATTATCTGCATTATTACCTTTTATTGTATCCTTAGAATTGAAATGATTTATAAGCTGATGTCATACTAGGAAAAAATCACCAGATTACCCTGCATATTTTATAGGATTAGGTCTGTAGTGACTTTAGGGATGTCATTGTGTCTGTAAGCAACCCAGAACATGGGTCCATTGTAATTTCCTCTGAAATCACCACACTAACAGACACCAGCCAGAGAGCTGAAGAACATCTCACTGTCTTTGGACATGAATGCTTTAGACTTGCTGTCAGTATTGATCAGACTTTGAAAACTCCACAATTTCACTGGAACGATTCGCGAACCATTGAGGATATTTTTCTAGAATGTAACAAGCCAATCACCAGTCTAGGTTGAACCCAAAGTTCCTGCCAAAGGAACTTTTTTAGCTACTAAGGAGTGACATGCTATCAGCTGATACTGAATCCTACTGCTCTGAATGAAATGGAGTTGGATTGCCTATTGTGGCCAAGGTATTAGCTGCACACTGAGATCCATTCTTCCCTTTGGTACATGGCCAGGCTACATGCCTGGGCTCCCGGGTAGTTAGGGCTGCCAGGAGAGGAAATTCTGTACTGGAGGCCGAGCCCAGATGAGGTGTGCCGCTGTGGGGCTTAGAAAGGCACTCATGCCTCTCAATGTTCTCTTTCTCCTTCTGTTGGTGAGGAAGGAGTCCACCAGGGCCAGTGTGACCTTGGAAGCCCGTGTGGAAGTGCTCCTGAGAGCTGGTTTTCCTGGGGACTGCACGTAGGAGAGGTCCTTCACGGCAGAATAGCGCCCCAGGCTCACATAGGAGTGAGGAATAAGGTTAAACTCTATTTAAGCCATTGCACATTGGGATCTAGTTCTCACGGCAGTTTAGCATTGAAGGCTGGCACACAGCAAGTGGGAGAAGGAGACTCTGACCTCCCCTTTTCTTCCAGAAAGCAGAAGATTAAACTCTCATGTAAAAGACGCCCTCCTTATCCCAGGAGGAAAGAAACATTCTTATTACCCGAGACAGGAGTCAAGCAGAGAGAAATGTGTACACAGCTCATTAGAGTAACTTCCTTTACCGGGGCACATATTTCAGTTACTTTCCCACCATTGCTTCTCTCTGTTCAACCTAGTTTTTAAACACCTGGGCCTCAACCATTCTGGGGAGGGGGGCTTCCTTTGCTTGCAGGAGGCTGTCACCGACATGTACAACTCTGGATGCAGTGCTCCTGCCCCAAGAAGGCAGAGTTTGGCCCCCATCGCCCGGCCACGGTATATCCCAACTACTCTTTTTACCATTTTTAAAATTGTACATTCACTGTAGTCGCACAGTAGCGACACCTTAGCTTCATTTTAGTACTTTTTATGTTGTCAAAGGTGCTTTCTGCTCAGGAGTCACACAACAACCTTAGAAAACCAGTAACTCTGGGAACACATTATAGACACATTTTTAACAAATAGTACTGCAGTAAGATAGCTTGAAAAATCACACTTCAGAATAAGAGAGATAAACATATGGTTCAACCTTCCGATATTAGGCAACAGAAAATCCCACAGAGCCAGGAGACAAATAAAACAAAACAAAACAAAACACACTTTCCATTTCAAACCAGAGTTGACACTAAATATACTCTGAAGATTTACTTTTGTGATCCAAATTACGAATAGAAATCGCTGTTAACATGGTAATTGTCCTTACCTGCTAAGGACGACATGTTGATGATGATGCCGCCTTCCCCTCCATTCTGTTTGCTCATATAATCCAAACCAAGATAGGTTCCACTGATAACAGAAGCCTAAGCCAGGGACAGAAACGGGGAAAGCAACACAGTCATTATGCTTTCTCATGCAGTCAGACACCGAAGTATTTGGTACTGTTCCACACGCCTCGGGAGATTTCTGCAAACACATCAGAGAAAGGCGTTGAAGTGGATGTTCGTTTTCACAGCTAGTCATTGACTGGATTCTCTTGTTTGCCTGAGCTTGGGGAGCTTACCACATCTCTGCAAAACTTCACTTCTCTTAGGTGCCCAACCTGAGATGTTAGGATAAAGGTTGTATTCCAGTACTGTTTGGTTACTTTCACTCCATTCCCAGCATCTTCAAGAATTCTGTATGTTCTTTTTCTTTTCTAAATAGTGGATGCAAAAGGTATTCACCCTTCTGAGCATGTGGTTCTCATGTCCAGATATTCCACACCACCTGTTCTGTTTAATTCTCTTGGATCTTGGAATGTATAAGGGATACCCTTGATTTCCTGCACAGTCTTCATTTCCTTCTTTTGCTTTTTTATCTAATAAAAATTCAAATTTGCTTTCAAAATTCAAATTTGCATTTGTGTCTACCTTCCCCATGGAACCCAGAGGAAGATGATCTCCCCATCTTTAGTGCAGACACTGATTCATCTGGAAGCCATGGAAACCCCACGCTCCTTGCCAGTGCCTGGTTTGGGGGCGGGCATGTGCCCCATGCTGTCAGTGAGACCTGAGGTGCGGTCGGCAGCAGGTGGGGTCCGGGCTGGGGAGGGGTGGCAGGACAGAGTGCTGAAGGGAGCATTTTCTTTGCTCTTAAGAAAACTAGAGAGAAATGATTACATTACCCACCACCCCTTTTTCCCCCACTGCTTTGTATGGGTGCAATGGCTGGAGGAACAGTTATATTGCCAGCATCCTTAGAATAAACCACTAGGAAGGACGGCAGCTGGGAGACAGGAGAAGAAATGGTCCTGAGGGCACCATTGGGCTGCATCATAAAGCCATCCTGAACTCTGCCTTGTGCGAGATCACGTCACTGTTTAACCCAGCTCACGCGAGGGACTCCCTGTCGCTCAGACACGCACCCTCTTCAGTGTCGTCCGTCCCTCTGTCTTGTTCACCGTCTTGCGGCTCTTCTTTCCGTGGTTTCCTCTGCTTCGTGACGTCGTCTTGAAGGTGGGTAGGCATCTTTTCTATTTTGCTCTAACATTTAAGAATTCAGCACTACCAAAACCAACTTGGGATATGCTACTTATATCTGAAACCTTATTTTCCCTTTTAGATTTAGGAATTCCTTTCCCTTCCAACACAGACTTTGAAAAGGTGAAATCTTTCTTTTGATGTCTTAATTCCTACTCTTTTCACTCTTCACAATACTGTAAAGAAGAGGCTATAAAATATAATCAGTCTAGAACTAAGGGTATATATGTGTATGTGTGTGCGTGTGTGTGTGTTTAACCTTTTTTCAATTTTAAAACGCCCTTTTGGTGTCTCGTGACTGGCATTCAGAGTTGCCTCTTTCCCTGCTGGCAGTTCTAGGATAAAAAAGTAAATTGAAGATTCTATTCACTTATGCCAGGTGTCAACTTGTTAAAAGGACTCTTAAAAGAGAATGAGCAAAATCTCCAGCTGACTCCCTTTAAAAGGGAAAAAACAGAACATTAATGGTTTATATAAGAAGAAAAAAAATGCAGATGGCTGGAATTAGTGCAGTCAGAGTCTTTTCATTTCTGTCCAAGCCTCTAGCAAGTCTGAACAGAAGTTCTGTTTACGCGTATTGACGCTATGCTTTTATTCTCAGGTATTTACAGCTTTGCTGACACCCTGGCTTTTGTGTTTTCAACATCTACAAGTTGCAGCCAGATAGAAAATTTGGAAATGTTTGAGCTTTATTTTTAAGTTCTTTAAAAAGCAAGATTTATGTTCAGGTCTTTGTGAAGAAGGACAAAGGATTATTTTCCCATCCATTACTGGTTAAGAATTGAGTAACTTTTCAGATGAAAGCATTCTTGAGATAAATATACAAGACAAGGTCAAATGCTTAGCTGTGCATATGTGATATTTTCACTTCTCTTCCTTTGCTATAACAAGCTCTTCCTTATCTCAGGGAATATAGTAAGAGGATTTTTAGAAAACCATAGAAAAAGTGTGTCCTGTTAATATTCTAAATATATATTTTGGTCCTTCAGCAATGTTTATATATATACCTTATAGATTTAGTCATTATAATATCAAGCATCTAGAGAAAAAGGAAATGAAAATTACAGACATGTAACTACAAACACAAGATAGCTGGAATCTATAGTATTATTTCAGTCCACTTTGTAAAGGTAGTTAAAATTTTGTATTTGACTCTCAAAAACGAAAAACCTATACCTAATTTCACATAGTGAAAATAAATAAAAGTTCAATTACTGACAAAGTGATCTAATTAACACATGCTTACTCAATATTTTTGGTTATGAAGGGACAATGTTTAAATGAAATACAAAAATTGTAATTATGTTGTATACCGAATCTTAAATTACTTTTTTCACTGATTAAAGCATGCTGTAACTTAAAATAACTCTCATAAATTTCCCTATAGTGGGAATAATTCTCCAGTAATGAAGATAAATGGAAGAACAGTTTACCTGCTTAACTCTTCTTATTACACCAGGTCCTCCTGTAACACACACGTGTATGTATGTTCCTATGACTTATATCGTGCATGTGTGTATATGTATTTGCTACTAAAATTTCCTAATGTGTCATTTCCCTTATCTCATCTCCCTCTGCTCTGAGCTTCCTTTTCATTTATTTAGGGTTTTTGTGTTACACTGTAATTTAAAAAATACATATATGTCATCTAAATCATGAACCTCACCTGTCAGGTTTCTTTTCTTTCTCCAGCCCAATATTCAAGGAACGCTAATAGAGATGAGCTTGTTTTTCTCAAATTCTTTTTCATCATTTTTTTTCTGTGTTCAATCTTTTTTCCATTTTTGCTTGTTAGGCTGTAAATAGTATTGTTTTCCTCCTTGCAGAAGCTACTTATGATTTAGCAAACTTTGCCTAACTACAATAGTTCAACTGGATCATTAGATATTATAGAGTATAAATAACAGAAAGTAGTTGCTAATTTAACTTATAATCAATATCCTTGGGACCCAAGAAATGGGAGTACATCTGACAATGATGTTTCTATCTATTGTTTCAGTTCTTTATTAAATAGAGATAGAGAAGCAAAGAGGAACCCACCTCATATACAAATGAGGCAGTGAGAATGAAGAAAATGTTGGTTTTTATACTCAAGGAGAAGTGCAATTTCTTGAGTGAATACTATGGAGTAGCTCTGTGATGGATCCCTTATACAAATTATGGTTTCTTTAAGCTTAACCATCTTTAGGGGTAAGGACATTGACTTCATCCTTTCACAAATTGGGAAATTCATGATCAGAGAATGAAATAAAAGTTCATGAATTCTAGATTCAGGACTAAAATCTACTTTTGACTAGTTCTAAATGCATACCCTTTCCAGTGCAAATCTTTAGTCCACTCTTGCACTTTGGAGGAAAAAAACCCCAGCAATAGCCACCTATTTAGTTTAATTTTTATCTGAATATACTAAAGGATTCAATACAAGTTAGTTATGTATCCAAATTAGATTGTAAGTCACACCTGAGTGGGAATGAATTATTTAAGCTCATCAAAGCTTCAAAAAGTAACAAATACATCACAGAATAGTCTTACCAATAAGTCTACCTCAGCCCAATTGCCAGAGTAACCTTTGATAATTATGTGAAGACTCATTTTTTTCCTGAACCTTCCTAGTGAGCTCTGAGCAGCTATACATGAGGCTGCTGAGGTGGCTTCAGACAGAGAAGGAAGCACAGAAAAGCCTAATGGACAAACAAAACTGGGACGAGATTTAATGTGCTTCCTGTGTGGGGAGAGTGGTGAGCTCTACAAAGTGGGGAATAAGAGGTGAATCTGGTAAGGAGTAGAAGTGGCACTGGTGAGCAACACCTGGATTAGGAAATCATCCAGACATTGTATTCAGACACGGAAATGAATATTCATGCATGCCGAATATCATAGAAGGACAATTTATTTATCCAATAAATAGTGAACACTTAATCTGTACCCAAAACAGTAGTTTTCTGCCATGAAAGGGCTTATGGTATGCTAGCATAAATAATACCTGTATAAAAATATTTCTCATCAAGTTTAAAAATTGGCAGGCCCTACCAGAATGATATAAATATATTGATTTCAGAAGAAGGAGAGAGAACCTGTGAGGTCCTCTAAGTAAGCAGCTATTCTCTGTCATGGACATGAACATGGAAAAACATGCCAAAGAAAACACATGGAATTGTATAAGAAGGTAAATTACATCCAGATCAGAGTTTTAAAAAAATGTATTATATACACCACACACAAATATTTGCATTACACTAAGAGATAATGAAGTTGGAAGGCCAATAATTGGTCAGACTCTAATCTACTCTTCTAGTGGGTGTTGTAAGGTAGGAGACGAGGTAACATTCTTTTAAGTCATATATGGGTAACAAAGGTTATACTTTGTTTTCTCCTTGTAAAATTAAATTGATGCCATCAGTCTCTGGAATTAAACTAAGGAGCGGCCTATGTCAGCAGAGTCTGAAGAAAAATAAAAGGCAGCTGAACTTCAGTGCGGAAGGCTCGGGGAGGCTGAGCTGGGACCGAAGGGGTCGGGTAAAGTTCCCTGGTCTTCCAGAACTGTCTGTTTGCAGACAAGGTAGGAGCTTTCCAGCCTGGAGCAGGTGTTTATTCACCTAGGCTACATTAAAGCAAACACACCCTCTCAGCTGGATGGCGAGAGATAATCTGACTATTAATCTTTGTGATAGCCCCTTTTCACGTTTCTTTGTGCTAACTCTAATCATTGCACACTGTTTTGGAATAGCTGATTTCTCCAAGAAGAGACATTATGGAGTCTATTATGAATGCACTGAATATAGGAACTTTATATCTTAATGCCCTTTATCTATAAAATATCTGTAGATATGACTGATGAAACTATTAAAGGTATCAGTACAGTGCTAAAGGAAGGAAGCTGCTGGGTGGTTTGTGCCTTTTCACTAGCATAGTTTGATTAAAAAAAAAAACTTGTTGCTTTATGGGGTTTTCCAAGAGGGACGTACTCTTAAAAATTCCTGCAGTTCCTAATTGGTTGTACACACACACACACACACACACACACACACACACACATTTAATCTGGCAACCAAAAGATGTAAAGAAGTATGGTTCATAAGTAAATCAGAGGTAATCACCAAAGACTAATAAACTGTAGTTTTATACCAGCAGAAGAAAACTAAAGCTATCCAATGGAATTAAAGAAAATAATGGAAAAAGAATAAAAGCAAAAAGAAAACTCAGTAAACGTAAAATATAAACTGAAGTGGAAGAAATAAATCCTAATAGACGCACAAAAGTAAATATAAATGGCTTAAATTCACAAATATAAAAGTGGATGTTCCCAGCTGTGATTTAAAAGATCTTACAGGAGACTGCCAGGAAGAGACAAATTTAACAAAAACAGGTTACTTATATTTTCCAAATAAAGTAATACAAAAATATATGCATAGGCAAAGGTGAACCAGAAGAAAGATAGGGTACCAATTTTATACCTGGAAATACAGAATGGATCAAAAACATCACAGATTGCAAATGGGGGAACAACTTAAAAAAAATCAAAGATCAATATAATTATAGTCACCAGCAATTTATGCTCCAAATATTAGAAGTTTAGAATATAGAGTCCAAACTGACAGAAATACTGAAGGAGGCAGGCAATCTGACATTGGTGATTTTAGATCTGACTACATTGTGTTCAAAAGCTGACAGATCAAAAAGGTAAAAGCAAAGAATAATTGACATCCAAACCAAAAAGACATTTTTTAACAAAACAAACTTAGAGATATGAATATAAAATTAAGTTACATATTCATTAAGCAAATTCAATGTTGTATTAAATGTTGCTGCGCCATGATAGAGTAAGATTTAGCCTCAAGACTTAAGTATGATTAATGGAAAAGCATTTCATTTTATTTCACTACATTACAAGCTTAAAGTAGGAGAAAATCATAAAATTGCCTCAACTCAGGGAATGCAGTTTTCAGGTCTCTAAGTGCACACACACACACACACACATACACACACATACACACACACATGCACACAACACCCATGCACATCCCAGAAGCATTTTGAAGGAAACTTGACAAGTAGGTTCTAAAGTAATTTTGAAATATAATGAGAATACTTGAGAAATTTTTTAGAAGAAATAGAAGGAGGGTGTTTGTACTTTAAAAGAGTGCTTCTGGTTGTTGGTTAAAGAGTTGCTAAAACCCATCTGTCAAGTCTGGAGAGCAGCCCTGCACCCTTCTCAAAGCGGCGCTTACAGATTTACCTCTTTTGTGAGGCCGAGAATCAATCCCATTGAGTTACTGCAGCTCAGTCACTCAAGGGACTGTTCGTTCAAGTCAGACATTTGCCTGAGCACTATCTTCAAGACACTGTCGATTACTGGGAGAGCGACAGAGAAACACCTACCACAGTTCCTGTTTTGAAGGAGTTTATGATCTCGTAGGAGGGAATCATGAGGTAGGGCCAGTCCCTGTGTGCTTGTCCACGCACGAGTGGCCCCTCTGTACCTTCACGTGCCTGGTCTGCAAGATGGGTCAGAAGGGCCTTACCCAAGACAGGGGGAGCCTGTGTACAGCCTGGCTCTCATGTTTTGCTTCAGCTAAGGTTTGAGTTTTACTGAACCCATGTGTTTATAAAATGGGATAACCATTGTGATACAATGGATAAAAAACATGTTTTATTTCCTAATTCTACATTTTTGAAATCTAAGTAAAAAGTGACTGATCATCCAGCATCATGGAAATTACAAACATGCCACACACTGACTTTGAGGATAAAAATCTTCATAATTACCAAGTCCCGCAGTCATGTTAACCTTGTTTTCTATGTATTCCTGGAATTAAACTGATTTATTTTTTTAAGTAAATATATTAAGCCAGGAATTGGCAAATTTTCCTCTGTAAAGAGTCAGAGGGTAAATATTTTAGGCACCATCCATCATAGCCAATTGCTCATAATTTTTGTTACAATTATTCAGCTCTGCCACCTTTGTATGAAAGTACCCACAGACAATGTGTAAATAAGTCACTGTGGCTACGTTCCAATAAAACTTTACAGAAACTGAAATTTGAATTTCTTATATTCATGTATTTCATATTTTTCTTTTTACATCTTTCAACCACGAAAAAAGGTAAAACCCATTTTTCACTTGCAGGTCATACAAAAACAGGCGGTAGTGTAGTGTGGCCAGTGGTCATAATTTGCCAACTCCTAGGTAATGCAATAAACTATGTTTTTATTTTTTTGCATTTTCCTTCAATGTTTTAAAACTGATTTATTTTCATGACTAAAAGTCTCAACTGTCCTCAGATGTGTAAAAGGAATTGATTTTTTTCTAGCTTTCTGTAACTTCCTTTTTCCTATACTGCAGGTCATTGTATTGTTTTCATGAATATAAGAACCTTTTTTCCTTTAAAAACATCATTGCATTAAATAATATTAGGCAATAAACATGGCTTACATCACTTACCAGATTAATCTGCAGAGTTTTTTCCCAGTTTTTCTCATTATTCACTCCAGCATTATTGACCAAAATGTCCAATCTTCCAAAGTAGTCTACAACTTTTCTGAAAGTATCTAATTAAAAAAAACCATGACATTATAGATACATTTTTATTTTCCATATATACATTTAAATCATATCCCATGTCCAGAAATGAATTTTTATTTACCCACCCTCCTAGTAGAAATTACACTGTTAGACAGCAACTTGATACTTGGCTTCTCTAAGTGTGGTTTGTGAGCCAGCACCGTGAGCATTACCTGGGAACTCGTAGGAAATGCAGACTGCAGCCACCACAGACCCACTGAATCAGAATCTTAAGAGGATGCGTTTGCACATTAAAGTTCTGTAAGCGATAGCTTAACGGGATGCATTTTGGAGAACTGAGGACCCTGAATTAAGAACTCTTGGAAGTCAGTTGGGGCAGCCAACATATCTCTGTCCCTAAGTTATTGAAGCTTGGCGACTGAGACGATCACAAACATCCCTTGTTAATAAGCCATATGATCTTCATAAAGAGTTAGATTAAATACAAGTCTTCTTGTGTATTCAGACTCATCATGATCATTGTAGGGAGTTTTGACATCCAACTAAGTAAAAGTCTTGTTCTCATTTGGCTGATTTTATTTGATTACTGTAACTTCACTATTGACTATTTCACTTTTTTCTCTTTCTCACTATTGTTGCAACTTTGTATTGCTAGCTTCTCTAAAAATTATGTTCAACCTGGGTAAAATTTGTGTAGATTCTGAGACCTGAGAGTCACTCATTTACATTGTCCAACTACACGTCCTGTCCCTGCAGAGCCCCCTGAGGCAGTTCATGTGAGGCTTTGGCACTTGGGAATGAGAAGCATTTTATTTCTCAAAGCAGCTTTTGACATAGTTCTTTTGATTCTAACTGTCTCCCTTTCACACGGGTTCTCGTTCTGTTGAGTCTGCAGTGACAATGGTGGTGGTTCTTCCAAATGACAGAAATGTGTTCTGTGTTCCCAACTCTTGGTGTCAACATATGAGTTCCTAGAAAACAGGAGATCCACGCCAAATTGATTCTGATTGGAATAAAGTTACAGAATTATAAACAACCATCAGACACCATGAAGAGGGCATGGATTGATCAGCTCCTGGATAGATAAATTACTATGCGAGTCAGTTGTCAAAAAATTATGCAAACACTTTCTGACGTGTACCCTTGACAGTACCCTTTACCATAACGGAATGGAAAACAACAACAAAAGATGAATTGTTTACTTTTTTGTGGACTTTTTTAGCTGCTTAAGATCTCAAATTGACTCAAGAGAAGGTTCTCTAGTAGAAACCATGTAAGAAATATTACTTTTTTTGTTGTTTTCGCATTCCATCCTAAGTATGTTCTATTTCTCAGAACTCCACATGCAGTTATGTTTCTTCACATAAGCAGAACTGCCGCTCCACCTCTCCCTCCTCATGCCGGTCTCCGCGCGTCCTCACCTTCCGCCCTTACCAATGAGTAGTGTGCGACCTTCTTTCTGCCATACCCCTGAGTTTGGGGCTCAAGTGGCTTACGATCTAGGTCTTGCTGACATTCCTATGCTGTGGCACTCTTTATAATTTACATAAACTCTCCGTGTTACATTATTTTATTTGTAAGATGAGTCATGTCAGATCATCTCCCAGAATCTCTCACCTCTGTATTTTTATGCTACCAATGAAGTCTCCCTTGGGCACACGTCCAAACCATTTCCAAAGTTGTAGGCAGCAATAAATCCTGAAATTGCAAGAGTCAAAGCCACATTTCCCCCACATGCAAATAAATGCTGATGTCCAAGACAACACGAGGATTTCTCATGACCAACGTGCCTCTCCTGGTCACTGTGTGTGTGTCTGAGTTCCCTCTTCCCAATCACTTATCCTTAAGGAATGTGTTTACAGCCAAGGCACTGATTTTAAATACTGGGAAGCACAACAATTAAGGTTAAATGCCACATGTCAAAGTATGCAAAGTCAGGCAGAACTAGTTTTCAGATGATCTAGACTCTGTTCCCTATTCCATCAGCATGTATGTTATGACATGGCTTTATTCTTGATTCAAAATATCATGCACAATCAACAAACCTTTATCCTCTGGCAAAATATGTTCTGCCAGCACTGTTTCAAGATCTCTTCTACCCATGCTTACAAGCCAAGTTATAGGTCTTAATTTGCAGTTTCAAGTTTTGATGACATAATTTCCTTTAAAACAATTTCCTTTAACTGTAGGGGAACACTCCTCCCTAACCTACCACTCTATTTTTCACTCTTACAGAACATTCCAACACTTTCAAAGAAAGTCACACTTCCGTGTTCCTTTAAGAACAGAAGTACTAGAGAAACTTTGATGAAAACTTTTTGGTCCCTTGATTAAAGATGTGCCTAACTATTCACTCAGTCTTTCAAGAAAACTGTGAAATACAAATATTCTTTTCCATTTTTTTCCCCAGAACAAAAAGTCTTTTTCATGCAAATCTATTGGGCCTCTTTACACACGCCCAAATCTGTTAGTTGTCTACACCAATATTGTCCTTGCTAGTTTCCAGGTAGATTGGTCTATTTTAAGTGGGCAGACGGAAACAGGAAAGCATTGAGGAAAATCTGATAGAAACCTCTCTCCTGCAGTTCTAACACCGCAGTACAGCTATTGCTATTTTAAAAGTCCCCTTTCACAGGGGGAAAACTGGACCGAACATTTGGTGGAAGGCATCTAGCACGTCTGTGGTGACGGCCTTTCATCCTGCGTCCTATCACATTTGAAAGAGAGTCACTGCGCACTGGACTGTCACTGGACTTGGGGTCTTTCTGGAAGCTGTTTCCCACAGCCCCACAACCCACCCCAACTTGCCAGGTTCCATTAGCAGCTTCAATCCTTTGCTGTCTTTGGCTACACAAAGGAATTTTGACTACATTTTGTGCTGCCAAATGACTAAAATAAAAGGATTTCTCAAGCACTCTTGGCTTCCCCTTTAGTTCTTGCGGCTGTTGGGATGAGAGTAGGAAACAACAGCCCAAGCTATCTTGTGGAGCCTCCAGGTAGCCAGCCGCCCTCCCGGAGGTGACCGAGCTGCCCGCCCAGAGGCCGGCTCTCCTGCCCAGGCTGCCTTCAGGTTGGTTGCCTTTCCAAAGCGTGTTCCGCGTTGATGGATTGATGCCCCTTACCTCTCAGTTGTTCCTGGTCAGCCACATCGCACTGGATGAAGAGAGTCTTCTGAGGCTCATACTGCGCATCCAGGGCAGCCTTACACTGTACACCTGCCTCCAGATTCCAGTCCACCAGTGCTACCTGCAGACGAGGGGACAGGAGTCGAGATGCGAGGCGGTGGACCTGGCAGACAGACGCGCAGGAAATACCCAGCAGCGCGCTGCTATCCTGGGCTGGCACGGCGCAGTCCAAGTTCGGATTCTCTCCCCGCAGCTTTGGAGGTCTGCCCGCCACCGCCGGCCTCCGCAGCTTTTGCAAGGGGCAAGGTGCACGCCCAGGGCGCAGCCTGCGCGTGTCCCCGAGCCCTGCAAGCTGGGGCGAGCAGGGGGCGCAGCCTGCGTGTGTCCCCGAGCTCTGCAGGTTGGGGCGAGCCGGGGGCGCAGCCTGCGCGTGTCCCCGAGCCCTGCGGCTGGGGAAGAGCCGGGGGCGCAGCCTGCGTGTGTCCCCGAGCCCTGCAAGTTGGGGCGAGCCTGGGGGCGCAGCCTGCGCGTGTCCCCGAGCCTGCAGGTTGGGGCGAGCCTGGGGGCGCAGTCTGCCGGTGTCCCCGAGCCCTGCGGCAGGGGAAGAGCCGGGGGCGCAGCCGGCTCGTGTCCCCGAGCCCTGCAAGTTGGGGGCGAGCCGGGGGCGCAGCCTGCCCGGGTGTCCGGGCCCTGTGGCAGGGGAAGAGCCGGGGGCGGGCGCACGGTCCCGGGCTGGCGCGCTTACCTTGGCGCCGTTGCGCAGCAGCACCTCTGCAAAGGCTCGGCCGATGCCCTGCGCCGCGCCGGTCACCAGCGCCACTTTGCCGTTCACGTGCATGGCGGCCGCTGCTGGCGGTGGGCGGCGCGCGCCCCGTGCGGCCGCGGCTTTTATGGCCCCGCGCGTGCGGCCCGCCGGGCGCCGCCGCCAGTGGGCGGGGAGGGAGCCGCGGCCGCGCGGAGGGCCGCCGCCACCACCTGGCCGGGCTGCGGGCGCCGCGCGGGGCCACCTGCCCACCTGCACACGCGGGGAGGCTGCTCGTAGGGGGGGACGGCCCCGCAGGGCCTGCAGACCCCCAGCCCCGACGGCAGGAGGCGGGGCCAGGCCTAGGCGCTCGGTTCCCCCTCGCGCCCTCACGCCCGAGCCTCCCGTGCGCCCCCCTCAAAAAATAAAAATAAAAGCAAGCAAGCAAAACTGGGGGATGTGGCTCTTTTGTCTCAATCCAAGTGTTTGCCTGAATTCCCATTTGGTGACTTTTGGGGCCCGGCCGGGGAGCAGGGGTGATCAGCACCATTATTTTGTTTGTTTGTTTGTTTGTTTGACCGAGCTGTGTTTTTGACAAACTCATACAGATATTGGAGACGTGAATCCCGCTCTGCAGGGAAACCCCGAATCATACCACTTCCAGGCTGGTCCTTTATTGGCACTTGCGTTTCAAATCAGTGTCAATTGTGTGTCATCCCGAGCGGTTCTCAAGAACTGTCGTCGTGTCCTTGCGCAGGACTTGCAGAGCCAGGCCGCCTCCGTGGGCCGCCTGCCCGTGAATCACACCAGCCTCGGAGGCCAGGGTTAGGCGCGGGGGCAGAGGTAGGGGTCCCCCGGGAACCTGGGCACAGCTGAGAGGCATTCAGCGGGAGCTACTCCCCTGAGTCCGCCCCTGCCACCCCCGCCCCCGTCACCCCCACCGCCCGCAGGCTCCGGTTTTAATTCCCTAAGCTTACTACCTGTTTGGCACTTATTTTCATGACCAAAGAAATCCAAACCATTGGGGAGCTGGGGATCAGATAAAAGGCTGACACTCACAGCAGAATGAATGAATCCTTGGGGCACGTCTTTGCTGCTGACTGAGGGGGTCACACGGAGGGTGACTGAATCAGCATTAAAGGCGTGTTTGGGGGGCTTTGTAAAACACCTGCAGTAAACCCCTGAAGCAGAAGTGTACAAAATTGATTTGAGATTGGGTCTTGAAAACATGTTGAGGAATTAAGACAGGGTGAGAGATATTCATGTTCTGATAATGAAATCATAACATGAAGCGTTAAGTTGAAAGATCATATTAAAAGAGAACAGCAGAAGACAGAGACCAAACGAGAAACAAAAATCCGACCCCTGCAGGTACGCACAGAGCACTGGAAGAAAAGGGACAGTTTCTCTATCAGGAAAGAAGTAACAAAGAAAAAGAGGAAACCCGTGGAATGAGGGGAACATGGGAGAGAAATGTGCCGCAGCCATCTGGGGGAGGTGGTTTCAAGAAGAAAAGGCTGGTTAATAACGCAAAGTACTCAGGTGACACAAGGGAAGGAAGACTGGAGATACTTTGAATTTTTCAGGACAATAATTAGTGTGAGCACGTGGGAAGGACACTGAAACCAGGTGGCTGAAGTCTAAGGAGCAAACGTCTGGTGGGAAGATCGACAGTCAGGAGCTCAATACATCATGACATGGAAAGAAACGGGACAGTAGTTGCAGAAATTAGAAAGCAATTAAGTTTTTGTTCTACGAAGGGATGGGGGGCTGATTCGGCTTCAGAGGCCAGGAGGTAACGAGAGACCAGAACAGGCAGCGGTCTGGGGGCAGGTGGGCAAGACAGAAGAGGGGCAGCTTTGGGTTTAGACTATCCGGGTTGGATCTGACGTCTGCTGCTGGCCAGAAGTGTGACCCTGGGCACACTTGTGCCTCAGATCCCACATTAATAAAGTAGTAGTTCCTGGAAGAACTGGAGGAAAATGAAATAAGGTGACGCATATGAAGCACTGTTACAGCACCTGCCACAAAGTAATAAAACAATAAATGTTGTTCTAACTAATCATTTTTGGTTTATTAATTGATACATGTGGGATAAAGAAAACATGAGGAAAAGGATTTTTTAGTGCATAGGCAGGACTGGTACCCAGGGCACAGCTAGATTTCTCCATCTCTTCCTTCCCAGCTTCCCCTGCCCTGCCTTTGTTCAGATCCTCATGCCTTCTCCCCTGAAAGGTGCAGCAGTTAGCTTCCTGAATTTTTCTTTGCTCCAAGATCCCTAAATCCAATCCAGTTTCCACACTCCTCCCAGTAAAAGTTCTAAAACATAGGCCTGACTGTGTTTAGACATTTTAATTTTTAAAATCCTTTAAAGTATCCCAAACTCATAGGCATTGCAGGGGAAGCATTCCATGACCCAGATCTGTCTCATGGCCCCTCTTTGCAGTCTAGGCAGCAGTGCCAGTTAAAACCAATGCCACCCTCCAGGCTTCAGGCCTCTGCTCTCCTGAGCGAGCTTCTCCGTCCCACTTTCTCCCTTGTCTGCCACCTCAGCCACAAACACTCTGCAGTAGAGTGACTGCAGTGACCTTGCCACCTCTGAGTGTCTTCAAGGACAACTGTGCTTTTCTCTCTGGGAATCTCTAGCATGGAGCACAGAGCTGCCCAAAGTGTATGCTCATACATGTTGAATGAAGAAAAGTACAGATAAATATGAGATATGTGTTCATGAGAAGATGAAAAGTTTGAACTGGATGGGAAGATTTCCCACATACTGTGACTATCTTTTGACACAACTTAGAAGTAAGATTGGGAAAAAAATTGATACAGCATTTTTGAAGAAGGATGTTTTGACATTTTATCATACTTTATATTAAATGTGTATTTTGACTGAAAAATAGATATAGGACATTATGTATAGTATATATTCTAAAACCAAAAATATGTTCTTTACCCAATAAACACATCCTTCACTCCCCTGTAGTTTTTGACATATATTTCTCAGCTTCTATGTTTATAGCATTATTATTGTCATTTACATTATTAGCTTTATAATTCTATCATCAGCATAATTTATGTAATCAGAAACATGATTCTTAGCTAAAACTAAGCTAAATCAGAAACAAACCATCATGCATATAATTTTGTGAGAACAATCCTACTTCTAGGTTATATTACATTTAGTTGTTTTGGACAGAGTTCTCATAAAACAAAAACAAATAAAATTATGAAAAATTAAAAGTCAAATTGAAATAATGGTTCTTCCCTCAAGGAAGTTGCAGGCATTGACCACTGAATGTTTATTCAGGGACAGGCATTCCATCAAGGCTCACAGCATAGCCGCTGTGATCAGTGGGTCTGGGGCTGAATCCAGCCCCATCACATAGTAGCTGCAAGTTACTTACGTTCTCTGAATATCAGCCCCTCATCAGTTAAACCAGGATAGATTATAGTTTCTGTTTTGTAAAATGGTTGTGAAAACTACACCGAGTTAAATAAATTCAAGGCAAGTCTTATATCAGTGACTGGCACATAGCAAATGACATGGAAATGTCATTATCACTAAGTACTATCCTTATATCATTGCATTTACTATTTACATAGTTATTATTGTGGTTACTTACCAATGAGGAAAACAGGTTTGAGTTCATTAGGCAATTTGGCCAAAGTCACTTATCTCGAAAACTGAAGATGGTGGCTTTGAGTCAAGAGTTGACTGACTTCTACGTGGAACTCCTTTTTTTTTTTGATTAAGCTTTTTATTTTGAGATAATGTGGTTGAACAGGACTTCTAGCCATAAAGGAATAGTGATTTCTTTAAATTCAAAATAGATTTGAATTCAGACCAGGATTCCTTGATCAAATATATATTTTCATACACACACCCTAGTCTTTGCTGGCTCAGTTCCGACCTATTAAGACAAGCCAGTCTTAACTTGACTTTCCTTCATCCTGTGCCCAGGTGTGAGCACAGACACCCCCATATGCACTTAGTCACAGGCCCAGCTCAGACAGAAGCCAGTTAGTCACCTGATAGATAGAAGCTTATCTAATTTTTAAAGGGTCTCATGTATATCAGGACCGAAATAGGCCTTTTCATTTTTGAAACCGAAGTCCTGTTGACATAAACCAGTGAATATTGGGATCAAGCATTCTTGTCTTGGCTTAACCTCCGCAAGCTGCAATAGAGGGGCTGTTTTTGAATATCTACTGTGTTCTTGTTCTTTCATGTGTTATCTCATTTGATCCTGTTTCCAATCCTGCAGTGTAAATATTATGCCCTTTGTTTCACGGATGGTGAAGCTGAGGCTCATGGAAGACAAGATGTGTCCCAAGGTCACACTCTCACATTTAGCTGCAAACCTGGGCTCCAGGCTATCACGTGGCAACAAAGCCTTTATTCCCTCTTGCGCACTCAGCTGTCTTAGACAGACTTCCTGTTTGCTAACTACATGATCTTGAACCGATTAACAACTAGGTTAACATCTAGGTCCAAAAAAATTATACATAAGTTATTGTCATTGGCTTGGAACTATATTATATTTATGTACTGACTTTTTCAATATGGCCTAAACATTGTAAGTTAAGTAAGTGACTTACATATTATCCAGTACATTTCACGAATGTTCTCCCATTGATCAGGTAACGTGCTGTAACTTCTGGAGTAATATTTGATTAAAGCAGCCTTTTATCCTTTCATTTGATCTTTTACTCACAAAGGCCAGAAACAGTCAGGAAAGTCAGGCAAAGTCTATTTTTTCAGATGTCCCTTTTTAAAAAAAGTTGTCATTTGTTATGTTTTTTTTAAGTATATTTGGACATATCTAGAAAACTATAAGGATTTTTGACTGTATGCTGGCACTGAAGTTGTCTTTTCAAGACTTTCACTTTTGTGTGAATATGCTGGCTTGCTTTCTGCTTTGGCATTTAGTTTTCCTAATTGCTGTTGAGCTTTTAAACTTACAAGGTGAGACCTTTTATCATGCTGTGTAAATAATCAGCTAATGATAGAAACGTTCCTACCGATAGGCCTTATGGGTTTTAACAGTAACAAAGCGAGTAACCTGGGAATCTTGTGGAATTAGGAATGATGGTCTGGCTCAGAGAAAGCCTGAGAAAGAGGACAGAAATACAGAGACAAAGACTGAGAGAGGAACG